CTTGCGGGCGCCTTGCCAAGTTTCTGTGTGGCGTCATGTTAGAGTATCTAACCCCTCACTACTGAGAACCATAGTTAGTGCTGAGCTGACATAACCCCCTTTCAGATTTCTCTGTTTTACTTGCAACTCACGATTTGTTAAAGTTATAATTACTACGTAGATGTACGCCAGACCACGTCTCGCGTAGCAGGCTTCGCGATATCTCACGCAACACTGTTGCGCTGCGACGCGCCTGGCATACATCTACCTAGGCCTGCGGCGCTGACACCCGAGTCGGGTATCGCACATATAAACACAAAGATACGGGCCTCCGGCCCGTCAACTTCCCGTCACTTCGACTATACATGCAGGGTTGTACATTTTTTCGCTTATTTTCGTTAAAAACTCCATGTGGCGCCTAAACGGTTAATGAGAGAGCCAAACGGACGAAATTTTCGCCCAGAAGCTCTACTTTGGTGAGTTACCCCTTAGAAAACATTAAAAAAATATTTTTAAAAAACATCAGTTTGGGGACCTGTGGTTTTTGATTTTTTAAAAATCCAATTTTTGAGCTAGAATGCTCTTCTTCGTACTTGATCTGTCTTTTTATGACACAAAACGACCCTGAAAATCCCAGGTCGCTAGCCCTATTTGTTCTCGAATTATCGTGCGCACAGACAAACACACAGACACACACACACACACAGACAGACAGACGCGAAACTTTTTGATCATCACTGGAGTAATAGGCTTCGCTATCGCTCAGCCAATTAATTCTTATAGCAGATTGCGAGTGCCCGGTGGCTGCGTAAAAAAATTCTTGATTATTTGTGCAAAATTTTAATCTCTGATGAAAGAGTGCATATAATGTTTGACTCTGCTAATCAGTTTTGAGTTTTCTTAGGAGCCATGTGTCTCTTGCCTTAGGAGCTATGTGTTTCTTAGCCCAAGTTTCGTCCTTAGAATATAACTGTCTTGTTTGTGTTGGGCAGGTGAAGGGTAATAGCCCAACTGCGCTTTTTAATTGACTTGCCTGCTGTCGCTGTGGTGTAGTGGAATACGACAATGAGGAAGGCACATCCATGAAGCTCTGCGGGTGAGTAGTGTAAGCTGTATGTTAGGGCGGCCTATTGCCACTTGCTCATTATGTTGATAAAATTAGTGTGGTTAATAGACAAGTTGTTGTTTAAAATTTAAAATTAATCTGTGCTCTTACTATTACAGGGTCGTTGTGAATTGCTAAATTGATGAGCCTAAAAAGAGGGAACTGAAAGCGACCAATCAAGGGGATTTGTTTGCATTTCTAATGCACTTGAATGTAGTTCTGAGTCAGATGTCTATCGCAATCAGGAAAGACCAAGTAAACGTGAAATATGAATCAGGTTAGTGGTGCTTGGTACCCCTTGATGCTTCTGTTTTATTCAATGCTTTGCAGAGTTTTCAGACGTTTTCTTGCTTGTGTTTTCCCCCCTCGATGTTTCTGTTGTGGAATCTAGCTGACTTCTTTGTGTTTCGGTGTTCTGACTATTTGTGGTTTTGGGCAGGTGGAGTTTAGTTGCATTCGATTTGCTGTTCTGATGTCGTTGAGCTGCAGTGGATGTGGATACGAGGAGTTGGACAGACCTTGAACTCTATTGGTGAGTGTTTGCTAAAACCTGTGTACAGAGGAATCTTATTTGCCAAACACGATTCTTGTTGTGCTTGGCTAATAAGTGTGTGATATGAGTTAATGTCCGATTTTAAGCGTCATTTCTTTGAAGTTCATTTAACTGTAAAGAGCCTAATGTATGTTTTCTTTGTTTTTAGTTGGCCATCACATCGGGACGTATGATTGTTAACGGCAGTGCTGAGGTTGATGAGAGAGAGTTCAGAAACAAGGGAACAATGGCCATGAAACTTGAGATAGACAAGAAGCAGTATCTAGTGGATGAACCCTTTTAAGTGGAAATTGCTGAGATTGTGCCCATTCACTCACTGAAAGGTTTGTGTGCTGCTCTCACTTTTTAGCCCGCCCTTCTGCTCTTTAAAAAGCATTAAAGCGGGCTTATGCAACCGCTCTCGTGTCTGTCTGTCTGTCTGTCCTTCGTCCGTGTAAGAGGAAGGAGATGAGCTAGAGGTCTACAAATTTCAGGGTATCTTAGGGGTCACTCCTGGACAACGAAACGCCTGGTACAAATCCTGGCAACATTTTTTTTATGGTCTCCTAAGGGGTAACTCGTGAAAGTAGAGTCCTTTGGGCGAAACTTTTGTCCGTTTGACTCTATCTTGAACCGATTGGGCGCTAGAGTGCCTTTTTCGAAGAAAATACGGCGAAAATGACCACGTTGCACATAAAGACGTACAAGGAGGCGTCCAATCGTAAAATGTCACAGGAAGTACCCCCCCAAAACAACACATTCTGCATCAGGAACTAGCCTCGGATTTGCCGTATCTTTCACTGTTTCGGCCCGAGAGGTGGATATATTGAAATCAATGGCAAGAAGTCAAGTTTTAAGACTGTTTAACAAACAATATACAACCAAAAAACTGCGCGGGTTCGTTTTTTTTAAATTCTTAAGCAAAGCAGAAGGGTGGG